CCGGGGGGTGGCAGGGTTGGAGCAGCAGGGAATTGGTCCAGGGACCACATGGGACTCAAAAACACAGAAACTATCAGAGCTGCCTCTAGGGAGTGCGGTGGGGGTGGGCGGCTCTTAGTGTTAACTGTGAGCTTTCTGGCCTTGACTGCCTGGTAACTGGGCTGTGGGTGTCTTCATGCAGTGGGTGAGTGCGAGGCATCTGCCATGCTGCCACTGGAATGCCAGTACTTGAATAAAAATGCCCTGACGACCCTCGCTGGACCCCTGACTCCCCCAGTGAAGCATTTTCAGTTGAAGCGGAAACCCAAGAGTGCCACGCTGCGGGCAGAGCTACTGCAGAAGTGTGAGTGCCCGCTGTCCTCTAGCATCTCCTTCTTAGGTCTTGTAGAGTTTATGGTGCTAATGTTGACTTTTTATGAAGGCAGAGGTCTGCATAAAGTTTTTTTCTTGAGATAGTCTAACTCTATCGCCCTGGGTAGAGTGCCATGGTGTCATAGCTCACAGCAACTTCAAACTCGTGGGGATCAACAGTCCTCTTGCCTTAGCCTCCAAGTAGCTGGGACTACAGGCGCCCACCACAATGCTGGCTAGTTTTTCTATTTAGTAGAGAAAATCCTTCTGCCTTGGCCTGGGATTACAGGCATGAGCCACTGCGCCTGGCCCATAAAGTTTTTTGTTAAAAATTTATTTATCACTATACCTAACTGTGTGTTCTGAAAACATGATTTTAGAAACTTTAGAATCTCTGGTTAAGGTGTCTGTAATTTCTGTTACAAAAGTGAAATCTGTACCAGCCAAGTGGAGTGTGCTGCTGTACGTAGTGGCCTGGCTCCTATCCTGTGGGGGGGTGGATGCTGTGTGTAGTCTGATGCACCTTCTGGGTCTCTCAGGCTGCCAGTGAGCTTAATTTGACTTTAACAACATTTGAGAGGCAGGAGGATTGCTTGAGCCTCAGGGTTTGAGACCAGTTGGGCAACATAGTGAGACCTTATATAAAAAATAAAATTAAAATTAAAAAATGATTAGCCAGTGTGCTGCTGCACTTGTAGTCCCAGCTACTTGGGAGGCTGAGGCAGGAGGTTCACTTGAACCCATGAGTTTGAGACTCCTGTGAGCTATGATCATACCATTACGCTCCTGCCTAGGCAATAGAGTGAGACCCTTTCCCAAAAAAAAAAGAGAAAGAGAAAGATAGCTGATCATTCATTTAATGCCTTCCCAACAGCATCTTACTGAGTATGTATGGAAGATACTTGCTGGGAAGAGGGCAAGCAAATGATTCTTCCAGTTAAATAACACAATACAGATTTCAGTAAACTTTTATTTTGAATGGCTATGGAGTTAATATTTACAACACCTGTGTTCCAGCAGTGGCCTCAGACTCTGCCCGGGCCCTCAGGGTCCTGACCTGCCGCCTTGCTGAGCTGGAGAGTCTTTGTTTCTTCGTTGTGCCTGTGCGGTGGTGACAGGGACTAGGGGAGGACAGTGCTTTAACCAGGCTTCAGGCTGAGCTAGTGTTTCCAGCCCTGAAGCCTAGAGCTTTCCGGGGGGCCCTACGTGGCTAGTGTGGCAGTGGTGCACCCCCTCAGTGCCTCTGCTGCCTGTTTGCACTGTTGGTGTCTCTGCTCTCACCTGAGGTGTCCATGTGAAAAACCTAGACGTGGTATTTGAACTTGTGCTAGGCTTCTCAGTGAGCAGACAAGTGCTTGTTTAGAAAAAAATGAACATTTGCACGTGACTGTCTCTAATTCATCAGGCTCACTGAAGTGTGATGTGAGGGGCGAGGGTACTGTTGCTTGGACGAGCACCCACATGCACCCTTTCCCTGACAGCCACCGAGACAGCCCAGCAGCTAAGGAGGAGTGCTGGTGTGCCCTTCCACGCCAAGGGACGGGGGCTGCTCCGGAAGATGGACACCACAAGTAAGACCACCCTCCCCCCAGTGCAGGTCGTGATACTGGGCACGTGTTCTGCTTGCCAATAGGCCAGAGCTGTCCATGACTGACCTAACAGCCACCACCTGTTCTTATCAGGAAGGTCAGATAGACGTTAGAACTGATCAGGTCCTAGCCCTGGTAGGACTGAGAACTGGCAGACTTGGGGTATTGCATAAACTATTCCACTTGGAAAGGGAGACCTGGGAGGAAGCATGAACTCACTAAGTGGGAGAAGCCAGAATTTGAGGGAAAACTGGATTTTGTTAGATGGCTGTGGTAGGTGGGGCTGGCAGGGGCAGGTGTGGGCAGAGGTGAGGCTGCTCCTAACTTTTCTGGCTTGGCCACTGGCCCAGATATTGTCCCTGTGCCTTGAATGTCCCCAGGGTGGGGAGAGCCTCAGGAGGTAGCAGCCTCACAGTGCTACAGCAACTAGGGGAGAACCTTGGTGGCCCCAGCCCAAAGTGCTGCTCTTAGACCTGTCCCTTTGTCCTCATGATTCGTCCTCACTGCCCTCAGGGTTGGGTAACTTACCAGAATTGATAGGCATTGATGACAAGAAAACAGGGCTATCCTTGGGAACAGCAGCAGAGCACACACACCTCTAGAAGGTGTTAGACAACAGCTTAGGGGCCAGAGGGCTGGAGGCCATTGTCCTGTGGGGAAGCCCCTCCTTGAGGGTTGGTGAGCCCTGTCGGTGCTGGTACCACTTCTGTGTGTGAGATGTGTTGGCTGGAGATGTGACCTTTGTTTTTGTTCAGTGTCATGGGCAGAGATGTCACAGATTGACTGAAGCCATTGCTTTCCTGGGTAGGCTGACTCTGCCTGTGGTCCAGGAGTCCCAGGTATCTCAGCCAGCTGTCCTCTCCCTCACCCAGGGCCTGTGGAGATGTAGCAAGTCCCTGAGAGTCGAGGGCTTGTGCCTGCCAAGTGCTGTGGCCTGGCACTTCCTGGTCTGGCGGGGTCTGAGCTGAGCACCCTTTCCTCACAGCAATACTGGCAGGACTAGCCTTTGCTCGTTACAGAGAAGGACCGAGCACACAAACTGTGGACAAGACATGCTGTCCCTGTCAGCCTTCCCTGGCAGCTGAGACCCAGGCCCTCTCAGTTGTTGGGTGTTGAGGCCCTGCTGGTCACTGCTGTTGAGCAGCTGATGGTACTGCCTTCTCTCCAGCCCCACTCAGAGGCATCCCGAAGCAGGCGCCCTTCAGAAGCCCCACGACGCCCAGTGTCTTCAGCCCTGCTGGGAACCGGACCCCAATCCCACCTTCAAGGACACCACTGCGGAAAGAAAGGGGTGTGAAGGTGGGCCAGTCCCCTGGCTTCTGTGAGCCCCCCAAAATGAGCCTGGCTTCTCTGTTGAGGTTAAGTGTGGGCTGTGCTTGTTTTGGCAGCTGCTTGACATCTCTGAGCTGGATATGGTTGGTGCCGGCCGGGAGGCAAAGAGGAGGAGGAAGACGCTAGGTGTGTGGCGTGTGTCCTGTCAGGGTCTGCAGGGAGGGGTTGGCAGCGTGGAACTGCCCTGGCCTGGCTCTGCCCCTTTCTGGGGCTGGCCAAGGCCATGTGGTCACTTGCATGGGTAGGACTGCCAGCAGGCAGTGGGGGGCCAAGCCACAGTTCCTCTGAGCTCCCTGCCTTGACTGGCAGACATGTTACTTCCCTCATGGGGACGGCTGCCCTTTTCCCAAAGGGTCATTTCCTTTGCCTGGAAGTTGGTGTCTTGAGCTGAGTCTGCCTAGATGATGATACTGTTGCCTTCTGAACTCATGGGAGGCCAGAGGGGTGGGGGTGGGGGGGGGTGGGGGTCACTAACAAGGACCTCAACTTTCTCAACAGATGCAGAGGTGGTGGAAAAACCACCTAAAGAAGAGACAGTTGTTGAAAATGCCACTCCAGACTATGCGGCTGGCCTGGTGTCCACACAGGTAGGATCAGTGTAGTGCAGCTGTGTCTTTGCAACCAGTGTGCTCCCTCTGGTGGCCATGGCTGCCACTGAATTGTGTTTTCTGGAAAATATATATGTGCATGTGTGTGTACATGTATGTGCATGCGTGTATACTTTATACATGCAAAGTATGTGTGTATATGTGGGTGTGGCTGTGTGCATGTGTATGTACATGTGTGCAGATGTGTATAAACAGGTAGATGAGAGACAGTGAGGTACGGGCCCTGACATGGGCTTCAGACTCAGGTTTGGGAAGCACTTGTCCCACACTCACTGGAGGGGTTGCTTGGGGAGCCTCCTGACCACTGTGCCTCGGTTTCCCCTCTGACAAGTGGGGGCTGGCAGTGCCTGTGTGTGGGTGAGGGCCAGGCGTGGGGCTATTGAGTGTGCAGCCTGTCTGAGATCTCAGCACCCTGGAGATCCCAGTCCTGCTTGTGGGTGGGGAGGAGGTGGAGAGTAGGAAACAGTGTGGCCATACAGAGGTGGTGGGTGACTGTCCTCAGCCACAGTTGTCACTTCTGTACAACAGGCCTCTTGCTTCCTATTGCACACACTGTGTCTTCTAATTTTCTTAGAACCAGCGTGTCATCTTTTTGTAATAGCTTTCATGGTAAGAAAAGGCAATTAATTTTCTTCCTTCCTCCAAGATAGCTGGTTTGGGAGGTTCCCTAGGCACCACCCTCTCCATAGACAGGAGCAGCTCAGGCCTCTCCTCTACTGAGGTGGTTGCAGGTGCCAGTGGGCTGAGGGGCAAGAGGCTAGGGCACTGCCTACCCCAAGGGGGTTTGGAAGGGAATCCCTGATGTCCTACTGCAGCTCTGGGAGTTATGGGGGCGCACACTGAAGACCTGGCCTAGTCCAAGAGGAACCCTCAACTCTTGTGTTCCAGAAACTTGGGCCCTTGAACACTGAGCCTGTGCTGCCCTCAACGAGCTACTTGCCCTCCACGCCCAGTGTGGTTCCTGCCTCCTCCTACATCCCCAGCTCTGAGAACCCCCCTGGTGAGTGGACAGCAGGTTGGGCAGGTTGTCCCTTTATTGGGCCCATTCTCAGTAAGCTGGCTTGGAGTCCAGCGTGTCCATCAGGAGATGGTCTTGCTCAGGGGAGCTGCTGGGACTGCATTTCTCACCTTGATACCAGGACATCTGTTCTGTTGCTTTCTTTTGGCCCCTGCTGGCCAGCACAAGTTCCAAGAAATAAATCAGAAGCTTTTATCTGCTTAGTGCTTCCTGGGAGGAAGCAGGCAGGTGCCCACTGTGGGCTTGACAGGAGAATCCTGGTCTTGGGATAGCAGCACCTTTCTTGCAGGTGTCTGTGCCCACCCAGCAACCCCAGCTCTTGCTTCTGGGCAGGTGAAAGGGGAGCTGTGGAGGGCAGTGCTAGGGCTCCCTCAAACAGCCCCCAGGTTGGGAGAGAGAATATCCAAGGGAAGGTTAAACTTGGCGTAGTAAATTCTGTTCAGGGTTTTGCTCCAAGCTCAGTTTAGCAAGGAAGGGGATGGCTCACCTCGGGGTCAGGCAGCCTTTTGGGGGCCCACATGGCTAGGGCGAGGGAGCTAACCAGAGCCCAGGTATCTTGTCTGTGAACCTGGAAAGGACTGAGACCTCTGGCTCTGCCCCTCCAGCTGGGCTTAGGGGGCTTGTGCCCCTAACCTGGCCAGCATCTTTGGGTGTCCTGGGGAAGATAGAGCTGGTGGGTGGGGCAGAGCTGCAGTCAGGAGTAGAGCTGAGCCTATCACCTTCCCCGTAGCAGTGGGGGCTGAGAGTGGGGCAGGGGACCTTCCTCACCAGGCCACACTCTGCCTATAGCCTCATCTTCTCGGGAAGCCAGCCTTCAGGCCAGCCGGCCATCGGAAGAGCCCAGTGCCCCGAGCCCCACGCTGCCAGCACAGTTCAAGCAGAGAGCACCTATGTACAACAGTGGCCTGAGCCCAGCCACACCCACGCCTGCAGCACCCACCTCACCCCTGACACCTACTACGCCCCCAGCCATTGCCCCTACTGCCCAGACACCCCCAGTGGCCATGGTGGCCCCACAGACCCAGCCCCCTGCCCAGCAGCAGCCTAAGAAGAATTTGTCCCTCACAGTAAGTGGTCTATACCTAGGGTGGGACAGGCAGCTTTGGTGAGGCCCATGCACCCACACCCTCTCCCCAACTCACAGAGGGAGCAGATGTTTGCTGCCCAGGAGATGTTCAAGACGGCGAACAAGGTCACACGTCCCGAGAAGGCCCTCATCCTGGGCTTCATGGCAGGCTCCCGAGGTATGTCCATGTGGCTGGGCCTGGGTGGTGTCCTGGGTGGGGGATGGGTTCCTTGGCTCAGGCACCCACTCAGCAGCCCCTGCCCCCTATAGAGAACCCATGCCAGGAGCAGGGGGACGTGATCCAGATCAAGCTCAGCGAGCACACGGAGGACCTGCCCAAGGCAGATGGCCAGGGCAGCACCACCATGCTGGTGGACACAGTGTTCGAGATGAACTATGCCACAGGCCAGTGGACGCGCTTCAAGAAGTACAAGCCCATGACCAATGTGTCCTGAGGGTGCCTGCCCAACTTCCAGCCCTGACCAGGGCTCCAAGGGGCGACAGCTTTGGTTTCAAGCAGCCAGGTGGTGGACACCTAGCAGGTTCCTTAAGTTTTAGATCTGTTTCTCTGGGGTGTTTTGGGCTTGTTTTTTAAATTTTAATATGGGTTAATTTTTGTGTGATTTAAGATACTATTTTGGATTCCATATAACATTTTTGAATGTTAAAGTGAACCAAAAGTTATAACATTCTGATTTTAGTGATAGCTCTGCCTGTTAGACTTACACCCTTAAAAAAATTTTTTTTAATTCCATTGACCTCAAGTGAGGGCTTTTCCTTGCTTAGTGCAGTGCCCTCCCTCCCCAGCATGGTTGAGGGGACCAGAGGTGGCACACAGCAGTGCTGGGGACCGGGTGAGAACACCCCAGCCATGCCAGAGAACAGGAAACAGTGCTCTGTCCACCACCGAGGCCTGCCTGGGAGTTTTATATTTGTCTTTTGTACAGTTGCTGACACTTTAGACAGTCTTTGGGTACCTATTTTCATTGTAAAATGATCTGAATAATTAAAGTTTAGCTTTTCTAAAGCAAGCCCCTGGAGCTGTGTTTCAGACCAGCTTATCCTCCCTTCTTGGAAACCCCAGCCCGTCCCATGGCTGGCTGTTGGGTTCCAGGGATGTGGCCAGTCCTTCCCACTATACCCCTGTTGCTGTATGAGGATTGCCCATTGATTTATGGGCTGTGGTAAAAGGCTTTTTAGGCGAAAAGGCTGAGATCCTGCTGAGAAAGTTAGCTGTTTTCTTCTCTCCTGACCATTTATCATTAATAGGAGTTGGGGAACCAAATTATTTTATTTAATTTTTGCAGGTTTTTTTTTTTTTTTTTTTTTTTTTGGCCGGGGCTGGGTTTGTACCTGCCACCTCCAGTTTATGGGGCTGGCGCTCTACTCCCATGAACCATAGGCGCCACCCTATTTATTTATTTTGAGAGTCTCAGTATATTGCCCTCGGTAGAGTGCTGTGACATCACAGCTTACAGCAACCTCAAATTTAGGCTTAAGTGATTCTCTTGCCTCAGCCTCCCAAGCAGCTGGGACTACAGGCGCTTGCCACAATGCCCAGATATTTTTTGTTGTAGTTGTTTAGTTGGCCTGGGCCAGGTTTGAACCCACCTCCCTTGGTGTATGTGGCTGGCGCTATAACCACTGGGCTACAGGCGCCAAGTCCAAATTATTTTTGAAAGAAAAAGAAAAAACCAATGCATTGTTTCACAGCTGGTACCCCCTGCTCTTTCCAGTATTTATTCACTTCCCAAGGCTGCACCAGCCTCTCCCTAAAGGGTCAAAAGTGAAATGACAGGCCGGGGTCCCTCCCTAAGGGAGAAGGTGTCTTCACTCTGCCTGGTGCCTTGGAATGCAAAGTGGAAAAAAAAGTCAAAACACAATCCCATAAAAAATAAGTTAAGAAAAAAAGCCTTTAAAAATTCTTTAATACAAAAATACTCATACACAATTTTCCAAACACAACTTTCCACTTTAAATGCTATTTTTCCCCAGCTGGCAAATCTCAAATCTATATTTCAGTATACTTCCCCCCCACCCCCAAAAGTGAAGTTCAAGTTTTTAAGTCTAACTATCAGAACTGGTGACGGCACCTGGTATTCTTAAAAGGACTCTGACCTTACACTGTATGAAGTTTAGACACCAAGAGGCACATTTAAATTTATGTTTAACTTCTGGGTGGGCACATCACATCTCAGTAGGGCACAGTGACGTGCAGCACCTCGTGGGCAGGCATTTCACTGATAGTCATCAGCTGCCCAACAAGATGGTCAGTGTAATTGGAACTGACCATCTTGTTAACTGATTGAAACAGGTTTGCCTTTAATTCTTAAAAACAAGGTTGTTGTTATAGAAAGTGGGCACTGTACACATTATGGTTCATGTGTCAAGCTCAATACTTGGGAGGTGTCAGCAGCAGAGGACCTGAGTGGGCACCAGGGGCACTCAGCCTCTCAGAGACAGGACAAAACCGGGTTCTCCCACTTCAGGGGCCACATTTCCCCACAAGTGACCATGTTTTAAACCTGCTCATGGAGTGTATCCCTGTGGCCGCATGTGCAGTGTGGGTGCTCCTGTCTCTGCTCACGCGTGCAGCTGTTGCCGGAGGTCTGGGTCTGCAGATCCTGCTCGGTTTCTGACGTCAGAGATTCTTGAGGTGTTTGGCCAGTTTTCATTCTGTGGTTTGCTTCACATTAATGACAAAGGATCAAAGCTGATGTTCAGAAAGTCACCAAGTCTTTAAAAAGAAACTTCTCCCAGGCTCTTTGAACAAAGCAGGCAGGTCAGAGCACCAGCCATGTATCCATGGTCACAGCTAGGTGTTGGTGAGCTCCAATGGGAAAAGGCCCTTCAAGCTTGGCACCAAAGCTTTGTTTTACTCTGGTTTAAAACTGATATTCTAAAGACTTCCAAAGTTAGTGTTATTTGCTCATTAGTTTAACAGTTTTTTGGAAAGGGGAAGGAACCATATTTAAAATGTTTGCAGTATTTCCTTCAGAAAGGTCATAAAATAATTTGGAAGTAATATCAACATAACTCAAAACATCCTAAGATTTTACTACTGGCAAACACAAAAATAAGTTAATCTTCTCCCCCAAAGTGCACTGCAAAACCAATTCTGATGTTTTGACTTACGAAGAAACCCTCTACTGGTAGAAAAGGATCTCTTGGACGGGTGACAGCATTTGCCTACAGGTATCAGAGGGCCCCTGGGGCCTTGGCTCCAAAGACCTGTCACTACAGCAGCCTCTAAGTTCAGGGCACAAGGAGCATAACCCTATGAACCAGTCCAGGATTTTCTGGGGACCATCTGAGAGGCTAGAGTCTGAACTGAAAGCTCTCCCCACTGCCTGTCCTTCTGGTGGCCATGGCGGCTGCGTCTGTAGAGGGAGCAACTGGCACACAGAGGAGCCGGCCAACTGCAGAGCTCGTTTTCCTTTAGTCCCTTTTTGTCTGGGACTGTGGTAGCAGCCACTGGTCAGGAGGACCAGTGCTTAGGGAGGGCAGGACTGTGGGTCCTCACACCTGAAGCCTAAGTGTGCTGGTCACAGACCCACCAAGTGGTCAGTCTTAGGTCCAAAGACAAACTAACTGCACTTGGACAGAGCAAAAAAGACAACATGAAAGAACAGGAGACCTCAGTAGCAGTTTTCAAGAGTTTTGTAAACTTTCCTGCAAAATGGATTTTCTCCTTGGGGTATTCTAAGAAAAAGTCAGAAAATGCAGCTGCCGCAAAGTGTCCTTCATCCCCTTTGGGAGATCACTGCCCCTTGGGGCATATGCACCTCTCCCTTTCCCAGTCTGCTCCACACAAGCCTGGGGTCAAGAGGAATCCCCAGGAAAAAAAGAATTAAGTCTTTAAGATTCTGTCTAGAGACTCTAGTAATTGGACATTTCTCACTGTGGGGCTGGGCCTTTGAGTAACTAAAAGATATGGACTTGCACAGAGAGGAGGTGTTGAGCCTGCCTGGTGCAGAGCACCTCGGAGCCAGCAGCACAACCTGTGTTTCTAGTAACAGACCTGGACTGCTGAGGGGAAAGCATGCAGATGGTACCAGCACAAAGCTCTGGGTCTCCTTGGTCCTGGTCCCACATGGGGGTGGTGCCTGCAGCGCCCTCCAGAGCTCCCTAAGTTGTCAGTCCCTGTACTCCAGGCAGACGCAGTGTCACACCCTCACCGAGGTAATTCCTTCTGCCGTGGGACTTAGGTCGCATCAGTAAATACACGTTTCAGTCAGTGGTGATTTGTGGAATGGGTTTAGCAAAAAATATATTGAGAATAAAAGCCAGAAACTGTAAAGAAAAGCCAAGTAAAAAAATAATACAAAGTTTTCCCACAAATGATGAAAGTTCAGAAGATAGTCCCAGGTGGGAGGTGCCCCAACCTGGCTAGGTTGGGAAGAGGGCTCCCCAAGACCTGTGTTTTGATGGTGGACAAGTTACTGGCGTTTAGGTCAAATCCATGACGAGGAAAAGCTATGGGAGGAAATCTTACAACACTATCACTATCATCATCTGCACCGCCAGCTTCTCACTAGGATGGAAAAGAAGCATTGAGGAAAAATTCACATTAGTACAAAAAAAAAATATATAGCTGTTTCAAAAGAGCAAAATAATCAAAATCATGGTTTCCAAGGAATCCAGGGTCCGAGTCCATGCAGAGGCCCCCCCTGGTCTCACCTGAGTGATGACGGCTGTAGGCAGAAGCAGAGCGAGATCAAGGTCAGAGTTAATAGTGCCCTTTAGAAAAAATACTATTCTATACACTTCAGATGAGAGAAACATTTCATACGCCAATTAACTTTCAATCGTAACTTTAACCTAAAACAGCGGGAGGAAACCTCGCCATTCTCAGAAATTCAAGTGTTAGTGTGGCGCTTGTGAGGAAGGCGTGTCTGTCCTGGCCACGGCGGCTCGGCAGTCGTCAGTGCAAGCGCAGCAGACGCTGCGGAGGAGGGCTCAGTGCAGGCAGGCGCACCCTCCCAAGGAGGCCTGTGCATCTGTCCTGGACCCTGGGCCACTCCCATGCTTGCCCTCTCCCCACAGGCAGGGCTGGCCACCTCACACCGCCCTAGATCTGGCCAAGCTGCCACCTGGTGCTATTTGCCTTCTGTGACCCTCCTCCAACACCTCCTTTTCTTCCTCTTCCCCTTCAACTTCACTGGTTCTGGAAAAGGGTTCTCAGTCTTGGCACTTCTGATGGCCTCTGGCCCCAAGTCATGCTCGCAGCAGTAGGATTGCCCGTCCTTGGTTGAACTGAAGGCTGTCCCGTCTTGGTGTTCCTTACAAAATGAATTGGGGCAAAAGTGGCAGAACGAAGTTGAAGGCTTGCCACACACATCACAATGATGCCAAGGACACTCCCACTTGCCTACAACAAAACACAAAATATTAGCACACATAAGTGGTGGGATCATAACTAACACTGTCCTGGTTGAAGATAGTTTTTTAAACTGTCTGGTCAAGTGGGGCTGACTGCACTGCCACAGGCCACAGTGCAGAGCTATGGTGGGGCAACCTCTGGCCGCCCCAGCAGAGGGCCTCAGCTCCCTGGGTCTCAGAGCCATCCACTCCAAGGTCCCCACTGTGCCCTGAGCACCAAGTATTGGCTTCTTATGCCCTGGCCACTGACAGAAGCTGTGCTGAGAACAGGTGTGTCGTCCCTGAGTGCAGGGGAAGGGGCTGCCCTGTTCCAGGTCACAGGTCTACCTAGGGCCCTGGCCACATCCATGACCTGCCTGTTCCTAAGACTGATTTGCTACCTGGGTATTAATCTTGCTGGCATGAGTTTGATTAATGTTCTTTGTTAGCTCAGAGAGAACTCTTAGATCTACACAAGTATTTCTTTCTGTCATTGTCCATTAACTTTGGTTTGTCGTCTTCT